ACAGGATGCAGAGTTTTCCTGAGAGAATATCATAGCGAGTTTCAGAAAGCTGTAGCATTTGGATAGGAGACGTATCTATATTTGACTCTCCTCAAGAGGAGGTATTGTAAGTCCACAGCTGGAAAAGGCAAGTGGCAGATTTCATGGATTTAAGAGACCATTCTCTTGGATTGTGCATCTAGGGGTTTGGGAAAGAATGGATAATGTTTTCAAATTTTTTGGAATTTTCAAAAACCCTTTTATTGTCTCCTTCCAATGGCCTTGAGCATGAATATTCCTTCTTAAAAGCAGGGTCACCTGTGGGAAAATGTGGGGCCAAGTGACTGGCTGGCGTTGCTGTACTAAGTGACATTCTTATTTATGGAAATTATGAACATTCTTCCAACAATATGTGAGGACGTGTCATTCTCCCTTTCTGTTGCTTTGTAATGAGTAGCCTCACTGGGCAAGGAGTGAAAAAGTGGTTCCTATGAATGCGGATATAAGAGTCAAGTGCTCCTCCAGCCCTCATAATTGCAGACCTGTGTGAACCCCCCGGGGAATCAGAGATGAAATGATGGTCCTTTCAGTCCACACGTCAAAGCCAAAGGTTTATTTTCTTGCTTTTACAATATCCCTATCTTTTATTCTCTGTTTTCAGAAACAAGAAAGTGGTTACCAGACTTTCATGTTTGGAAAAAGACAGCTGTTCAAATATAGAATCCCCTGAGCCCACTTAACACTTCAGACCAGAAATATGACACCCTGTGGAGCTAACTGGGGGATAGGAAAATGGCGTCAAAGGAGTCATTTTACTCTAACACAACCAGCTTTAATGTTCCTTCACTGACCTATTCTATGTCTCCTTTACTTCATAAAAGAATTATCCCTTCCACAGCTCCTCCTTTTTTATGTTACTTTTTATAAATTTTGATGCAACGGTTTTCCAGAGTTCAAGGGCTTTGTCCTCAACGTAGTAGAAGAGTCGTGAAAATGCAATGCCCTCTAGTGTTTGCTCTTTTTCCTTTTCCTCGTGAGCATTTTATTCCCCATACAGCCTGAAAGTCTTTTTTTATTTTATTTTATTTTTTCAGTGTTCCAAGATTCATTGTTTATGCACCACACCCCGTGCTCCCTGTGTTAAGTGCCCTCCATAATACCCACCACCAGGCCCTTCAACAGATGAATGGATAAAGAAGATTTGAAAGTCTTTTCTGTTGGAATTCCCCTGGCCTTGACGCCCAGAGCTATTAGCCTCTCAACCCCATTTGTAGATCCTGTCAAAGCTTCAGGAGTCCTTCCTTTGACACGAAGGGCTAAATCCTCACATCCCAGATTTGCAGGCCTGGCTGTCCTGTTGTGTAATGATTTCCTCCCATTCACTTGTTGATAATAATGTCCTCACTCTTCCCCATTCCCTCTTTCACTCTGGGTGGAGGACTTCAGGAAACAGAGAACCATATTGGATCCAGATTCTGATTAACCCGGTTGCTAAATAGTGATTTAGCCTTGTGAGTCACACTTCTTTGGTAAGAGATAAGAATATCAGAGCTTTGTGAAGGATGCTGAGGAAAGGATGAGACAGAATTTAAATTTTTGTAAACGCCCCATTGGTTTTGGATAGAATATGTCGGATGAAAAGGGAAAGTGTGGCAAACACCAAAACGTCTTCACTGACAGACAACAGTCTTCCAGCCAACACAGTCATTGGCATCACTGCCCAGAATCCTGTAATCAACAAAAAGTGAGGGGGGATAGGGAGCTGCTGATATGGTTATTACAAAACAAATACTAAAACGTGTCAGCTTTGCCCCCTCAGAAGACTTCTAATGAAGCAGGAGAGTGAGGCTCTTGTCTCACTGGGTCGGAGAATAAATCTCATGGACAAAAGAGAGTTTTATTAGGCAAGGATATAGAAAAAGCTCTCAGGAGTGAGAGGGGTCCCTCACTGAGTTGCCAATGTGGGCCTCCATCCACAATCTTTTATTTGGAACTGACCCGGGAGCTTGTGCCCTTATCTTTGTTGTGATGTCTCGTTTTGAGTGAGAGCTGGTGATAGCATGTTTAAGGGCTTACTTCTTTGGCGTCTGGTCACAGTGTGACTGCCACAAAAAGACCCCACCTCTGAGGCTCAGGGCGGGGTGGTCTGGTTTGTTCCTTTATCTCTGGTTTTGTTATACCTCAGCATTTCTGGGATTTCTGTGAGCCTGACCCTGTAGCCCCCTACCTACCTCTCCCTACCTAGCCCCGCCTGTCCCTTACTGCATGAGACCCTTCAGATGTATGGTGGGTCATATACTTGATAGATGATTGCCAACATGTATCCTGGGGGTAGAGATAAAGGAAGTTTCTGAAGGAATTTTTGTATGTTAAGGTAGACTTGCAGGATCCTGGGGGTCAAGGCTAAGATCGCCTATTGCCTAGGCAGGTGAGTCCCTTAGAGGAATGTGTCTCTGCCTGTTTCAAGGACTTGACAATGGGCTGTAAGTAGTAAGGAAATTTAGTCATTTTTCTTCTGCGTTTGTCTCCTACATCACTAGGGCATTTACGCAGAGGTCACTGGGTTTAAATTTATACCTAATTATTTATAAATGTCTTAAGTATATTTCTATTATAAGAGTAATTCAACATAATAAAGTCATCAAGGAAAAATGTATAACCAATAAGTAGCAAAAGAGGTTAAGTGTTTATTCCTAGAATCCAAACATAATCATTATCATTTTGGAATAATCCTTCCAGTCTTTTTGAAGATCATACTTTTTGGTTTATTTTTTTGAGATCTTTTGAAAGTATATATTTAAATATATCTGTAATTTGCTTAAAAATTGTTTTTGCCTCTATCGTCCCAAATTGTGCAAGACTCCACAAATATGTACAAACTTTTAGGTTGACATAAAATTGTTTTTATCATAATTTTATTTATTTTTTAAAGATTTTTTTTAAATTTATTCATTTGACAGAGAGACAGAGATCACAAATAGGCAGAGAGGCTGGCAGGGAGAGAGAGGGAAGCAGGCTCCCTGCTGAGCAGAGAACCCGATGAGGGGCTCGATCCCAGGATCTCGAAAGCAGAGGCTTAACCCACTGAGCCACCTAGGCACCCTTATCATAATTTTAAATGATTGCAAGGGATGCACCTTAAGGCATATTGTAGACAGTTTAAATTGAAATTATTACACAATTTTAAAAATATATCCAATAAAATGTGATTTGAAACTTAATACCATCCTTTGGGAAAAATCTCTTGTTTAATGGATTAAAAAATTATATCTTTTGTTTGTTCCTTGAATTCATATTCCCATTCCACTTTTTTTCTTCAGGTGCTTTATATATTTCTCTAAATGTATATCCAAATGTATTTGTATGCTTAAAAAGTCTTTTATTGATCAATTGGTGCTTCTCTGCAGCTGAAACAGTGGATATGCATTGAAATTAGAATTGTTTTTATTTTCTGATCATAAAGTTGAATTTTCTTTTAATTTTTTAATGACTTGCCATTGTAACTTTCATTAGCATGTAATCAAAGGATCATAAATATATTAAAGGTTTAATGAATAATTATTAACATTTAAACCAAATTTTATTGGGAATGAATCTCTTTTCTTTAAGATTTTATTTATTTATTTGATAGAGATCACAAGTAGGCAGAGAGGCAGTCAAAGAGAGAGAGAGAGGAGGAAGCAGGCTCCCTGCTGAGCAGAGAGCCTGATGTGGGGCTCAATCCCAGGCACCCCTAGGAATGAATCTCTTAATGACATGAATGGAATTTCACTTTTTAATCCATACACCCACTGATGATGATTATTTATTAACAGATGAAACAAAATTCAGCATCAATTGTTTTCCATTTATTCAACAGATGTAAGTGCTGAAAAACCATGTTTATATAAGTGTTATTCAGTTCCTCGAATTCTTTCTGTAGCTCTCTGTCACAAATCAGATGGTAATGCATCCACAAAATTATTTTTAATGATTGACCTCCCTCAAGTAGATTTTTTTCCAATTTTTTTAAAGCAAAGAATTAAAAACCAACACATTTGCAGAGGTAACTTGCCCTTGGAAAAAGATTGCTACTTTATCAGCAATGCTTTTGCCAATACCAGTGTTGATATTGTCAAGTGTTCCTCTGTACGATTTGCGGTCCTAGGATTCAGGAGATGGGACAGGTAGACCTTCCCTTTGTGGAGTTCAAAAAGGGAAATCTGCTTGAAGTCAGAAATTCTCAGATCATATCAGTTTTAGGAAAGAATATATATACAGGAGTCAAAAATCTATAATCTGATTTTTTAAAAAAACTATTTACTGCCTACATATTTCTTGGAAAGTCATCGCATACCCTGGAGTGAAGACCACTGGTGTGTACAATTCTTCCTCCTGACAATTTTTTCCTCACTTAATGTAATATCCTAAGTGTGTCTTCATGTCATTATGTAGTTTTCATGAACATTTTCATGATTTTTCTCTACAATATTTAATCAATCATCTAACATATTATATTTTATTTAAGCAGCCCTTTTCAATTGAACATCTGTTTTTGTTTCATTTATTTCGAATAACAAGCCTGAAAACAACTTTGTAAAAAAGATGCCCTCCCCAGCCCCACCTTCAAAGTGAAAGATATATTCTCTTAGTATCTATTTATTGAGTGGAACCTCTGGGACATAAGATATGAATACTATGAAGGAGTCCTGGTAAATGTGGCAGTATTGTTTACCAAGTGACTTGCACTAATTTACTCCAGAACTAGTAATCACTGAGAACACCTGCTTTGTAACATAGTTTCCAGTTTTTTTAATCGAGTTGTAATTATATACAATAAAAATGCACAAATCTTAAGTGTGCAGTTTGGTGAGTCTTGACAATCATCCTGGTCAAGGTATAGAGCACTGTCATCACTCAGAAGCTCTTGTACCTTTCCAGTCAATGCCACCACCAAACACTATTGTTTTTTCTATTCCAACACATTTATTTTGCCTGTTCTTTTTTTCCCCTGAGATTTTGTTTTTAAGTCATCTTTACACCCAACGCAGGGCTCGAACTCACAGCCCTGGCATCAAGAGTCATATGCTCCACCGACTGAACCAGCCAGGAGCGCCTCATTTTACCTGTTCTTGGTCTTCGTAGAGAAAGAATTATCAAGTAAGCGTTCTTTTGTGTTTGGCTTCTTTCACTCAGCAAACGTTTGTGAGATTTATCTATGCCATATGTGTCAATGGGTTGCACTGTATAAATGTAATCTAATTGTGTGTCCCTTCTAATATTGATGGACATTTGGGCTATTTTCAGTAATTCTCTATTCTGAAGAAGCTTCAAGAAACAAGTTTGCAAACAAGTTTTTATATAGACCTGTATTTTCTTTCATTTTGAGCAACTACCTGAATATGGAATTGCAGTCTTATAGGGTTTTAAGAAATTGCCTGTTTTGACAGTTGTAATATTATAAACTCCCCTTAGCAATGTATGAGCGATCTGATTGCTCCTCCTTCTCTCCACTATTTACTATTATCAGTTTTGTTTGTTTGTTTTTAAAGATTTATTTATTTGAGGGCGGAAGGGGGAGGACAGAAGGAGAAGGAGAGAGAATCCCAAGCAGGCTTCATGCCACGTGGGGAGTCCAGTGTAGGGCTCGACCCCAGGACTCTGAGATCATGACCAGAGATGAAACCAAGAGCTGGATTCTTAACCCACTGAACCCCCTAGGAGCCCCTATTGCTGGTCTTTTTAATGTTAACCAATGTAGTGAGTATGCAGTAGTAGCTCATGAGGGTTTTAATTGGCATTTTTCTGATGACTAACAATATTGAACATCTTTTTTGTGTGTTTATTGGCTCTTCATATATCCTTTCATGAAGTGACTATCCAAGTATTTTGCTAATTTTAAATTTGTTACTTATTATTACTTAAATTTTAAGAAATCCTACACATACGTACTTTATAAACCAGGTATCGATTGAAAAGCTTTTATATTGTCTGTGATCTGCCTTTTTATTTTCTTAATGGTGTTGTTGATGACCAGAAGTTTATTTAAAGAAAAACTTGTTTATAATATTTTAAGAAAGACTCATTTATAATATTTTTTCTTTTATAATTAGTTGTCTATCCCAAATTTCTAAAGATGTTATCTTCTGACTTCTTCTAAGAGCTTTGTAGTTTAGTTTTCACTTTTTTATTTGCAATACATCTCAAGTATATTTTACGTCTGGATTAAGAAATGTAGCAAGTTTTTTTTTCAAAATTGATATCCAACTGGATATCAAGGCTCCAATGAAATAATTATTGAAAATGCTTTTCTCTTCTAATTGAACTTCATTAGACATCTGTCAAAAGCTATTAGATTACATATAATTTGGTCTATTTCTGTGTACTCTGTTCTTTTTCTTTTTTTGTACTCTATTCTTTTAATGGATCTTCCTCAATCCTTTTGCCAATACCACATTGTCATGATTACAGTGATTCCATAGTAAATCTTTAAATTGTATAATGTAAGTCCTCCGACTTTGTTATTCTTTTTTAAAATAGCTTAGGCTACTATAGGGTCTTTATATTTCTATATAAATTATAAAATCAGCTTGTCATTTTTTATTAAGAAGTCTGGCCAAATTGTCCCTGAAACTTAATCCATTTATAGTTCAACTTGGGAACTGACAGCTTAGCAATATGGAGTCTTTAATGTATAAAATAGGTAATATCTCTCCACTCATTTAGGTTTCTTTAAGTTTTGCAGTTTTCAGTGTGAAGATCTTGCTGGTCTTTTGTTAAAGCTGTTACTTACGATTTTTGTTTTTATGCTATTTAACTCGTATTTTAAAATTTTTGTTTGATAAACATTTTTTGTTAGCATAAGATAAATAATTGCTTATTTTTATGTTGATCTTGTGTTCTGATACTTCTCTGCATTTACTCATGATATCTAGTAATTTTTGTGCAGATTAGGATTTTCTAAATGCACTATCATGTCATTTGCAAATACCTTTTCACTTCTACTTTCCCACCTTTTTCTGCTTTTTGGTTTTGTTTTTCCCTTCTTTTCACTCTATTTTATTTAATGACACCTGCTGTACCATGCTGAATAAATATGATCAGAGCACATACCTGGCCTTTCGTCCCATTCTTAAGGTGAAAATATTCAGTATTTTACTGTTGATTATAATTGCAGTTGGAAGATTTTTCATCAGAGTCTTTCAACTAATTGAAGAATTTCTATTTCTACTTTGCTGACAAGTTTTGGTTAGGAAGAGGAGTTGAGCTTTGTCAAATCTATTTTCCAGTTTTGAAACTGATCTTTTATTTGCTAATTTGATTAATTTCCATATTCTTCTAATAATCTTGGCTACCAAGTATCCACTCAGAAGATTAAGAACAATTTATCAGGAAGGAAATTACACCAACTGAGCTCTCTCGGTTAAAATCAGATTTTCTTTTCTTACTTTTTAAATAGATAAGAAATGTACATTTCAGTAATATTTTCAGCTGAAAGAGTTAAAACCAGCAATGACAACAACCACTAAAAACACGAGTAATTTACATTTACTTGCTTACCATTCTCACATTTATTCAGCAAATCCATATTGTAGACCTGCCAAGTGTTACCTGTTCATGGCCTGAATTCTGGTAACAGTGAACAGAAAAATTGCTTGCTATAAATATATTACAGCATCCTCAGAATAATTCCTGATTATTCCAGACAGTGTGTTTTTATTATTCCAGACTCCACACTGTGAGTCATTTGAGCCAAAGTTTGTTTTCCTCTTCTCATTAACCACAGCACCTGTTCAGCCTAATTACAGCCTTTGTGGGTATCTAAATCTGATTTATTCATGCAGTTTCCACTTTTCAGTTCTGCTTATTGGCCTCAGAGAGAATAGTCCTATTTAAAACCCATTATTTCTTTTAAGAGTTTATTTACTGGGGCACCTGGGTGGCTCAGTGGGTTAAAGCCTCTGCCTTCGGCTTAGGTCATGATCCCAGGGTCCTGGGATCGAGCCCCGCGTGGGGCTCTCTGCTCAGTGGGGAGCCTGCTTCCCTTCCTCTCTCTCTGCCTGCCTCTCTGCCTACTTGTGATCTCTCTCTGTCAAATAAATAAATAAAATCTTAAAAAAAAAAGAGTTTATTTACTTATTTATTGTAGAGAGAGGAGGGGGAGAGAGAAACCTCAAGCAGACTTCTGCTGAGCCGGCTGTGGGGCTCGATCCCAACAATCTGAGATCACAACCTGAGCCAAAATTAAGAGTCAGAGGTTTAACCAACTGAGCCACCCAGGCACCCCTAAAAGCCCTTTAAAACCCAAACGCTGATGTGATTCTTCCTGCTACAGAGAAGGGAAGGAGGGCAGAAGGGAAAAAGAGAATGACGTAGAGAGAAGGAAAAAGAAGGAAAGAAAAGGAGGGAAGATGGGAGGGAAAGAGGAAGATACTGAGATACAGGAAAAAAAAAAAAGCAAACCCTTTGAGATGGTGTGCAGAAATGATGAGTAATTTCTCCTTCTCTTGAATAAAGAAGTTTTTCCTTTTTTTCTTTTTTTTTTTAACCAGAGGGCCAGGAATGAGGAAGCAGCAAGGTGACCAATGTCTTTGAATTAGATTGTTAGCTTGTAGACTTTTATATTAAATTACTGAAAATTCCATGAAACGTGGTCTTGCTGCTAGTCATGAAGAGATGACCTGATCCAAGGTCCCATCACACACAGGAGAGGCAGTACGCAGTGGTGATGGGCCGCAGTGTCTTGAATCAAAGACTCTCCATCCTGCAAAGTGTCCCCCTGTGTTATTTCTGCGATCGTTTCCTTGCCTGTTGCTTTTAAACTTAAGTGGTTTCAAAGCCAAATGGGGAATATAATCATCTTTTCTCCCCCACCATTCTGAGAATTTTCTATTTGAAAAGTAACTTCTTTTTTATGACAAAGTAATACTGGATATTTAAAAAAAATACTATAAAGCATGGAAAGTCCAGAAAAATGAGACACTAATCACCCAAATATTCACCATCCAGATAGAACCATAATTAAAATTTGGTGTTTAGGCAACTGAGTGAGTTTGTTGCTTGGTGAGTCACAGAGAGAAACTACACCAGGTGTGTTGTCGCACAAAGAAAACGTCATTTGCAGCGAATAAGGAGATCGCAGGGAATAGTAACTTCCAAAGCTGGGACCCCTGAGCAAGGGTGGATGGGTTCCTTTTACTCAGGGTGACGATGAGTATTTAAATACAGGAGCCTTGTCGTCGGACCTACTAGAGGCAGGGATGAGGTTGAGCATGCACCCTGAGGAGCCTTGTCTGCACATACATTGCACATTATGTAAATAAGCTTGTGGCCCCCTTGAGTGGAGACTTTAGCGTTATAAGGAGGTAGAGGCAACCAGGTCACTCCATGGTCCATCTGCGCAGGCGTGAGTCCGGGTTTAAGCTCACACCCCTCAGGGTGCTCTGGGCGACCAGAGCTCTTCCTCTGGACAATTGTCATTGCTTGAGGGGTGTAGTTTGGGTTTCTATCATAGAGTGCTGTGCCCATCATGGTCCCCACCGCCCCACCCCGGCTTAAGAGATAGGCTGTAAAAAAGAACTTAAGGAAAATGTCGGGCGAATGTGGATGGGTACGTGCAGCGGGCAAAGTCAGGTCTTAGGGTCAGTCATGAGGGGTGTGGCAGGGGACAGTCTTTTTTCTCTCTTTGTCATTTGCTTTTTTTCATTGGGCTCAACATATATGCACAATTCACATTGCTTTTCCCTTAATATTATATAATAGAGATTTCACCTAACACTTATAAACATTGTACTTGATGGCTGGATAATACCATCCTTCCTTGCCCATAATTTATTTTATCAATCTCTTAGTTGGTAAATTTCTCTATATTAAGATATATAATCAGGAGTGATTTTATAATATGTATTTCCTTATTATTATGTATATTATTTTTCCTTTGGATAGACTGCTGGAAACAGAATTGCTGAGTGAAAACTATGAATATTTTTAAGTTTGTAAGTCATGGTAATAAATTTCTCTCTGTAAAGTCTGTGCCAGTGCTTACTCCTATGATCAGAAAAAAAGGAATTAATTCATTTGATAACTAGAGATACTGAATGTGCTTCGTGAATATATTGGCCACTATATTTCTTTCTCTGCAAATTCTACATTCCCTTTTTGTGTCCAGCTGTACAGTGGAGACTTATTTGATGTTTATGCTTTCCTTCCTTCCTTCCTTCTTTCCTTCCTTCTTTTCTTACTAAAGATTCATAATTTCAGATTTTTCTTGGAATGAGTCTTGAATATTAAGTTTATTGCTTGCCAAAGCACAACCTAGAATCATGTTTCTACTCTCTCCTGCAGTCGTATTACAGAAGGATTACACAAAGTTCACTTGTAGCATTCTCTCTGATGACAAATATATTAATATTTCCTTTCCCAGGCAGACCCCAAATGCAGCAGCTTTTAGCAACAGCATACTGGATGCTTCTTCTTGGACCTGTATATGGTTTTCACAAGAAAGGAAGTATCACAAATCCTGAAGCTAATATGAACATTGTAAGTCGTTCATGAAGAACAAACATTAAGATAAGAAATTATTAATGTATCATCATTTTAGATCTAATTGGTGTGCTTGTCTACAACCAGTTCTGCATTGACTAAATCTGTGTTCATGCCCCTGTTCCCTGGCATGGGCTAACCAGGTCTGGAAGTTGCTAATCTAAACTTTTAAAGACATGAGCCAAGTTGAGGCAGTGATATTCCCTTTCCTGGTGGTTGGAGCTACCATCTGATGGTGGTTTCCTGAAGAACAGTTCCATGAATTCATACTGACGACCTCCACAGAGTATCTCTGCATTCTCCCTGAAGTTCTTTCTAAAGTCATTTCTTTAATTTGTGAGCTGTTTCAGTGTTTTTCTTAGTTTAATAAGCCAGACATGGTTTCTGTTGTTTATAACTGAAAGTATCTTAACATATAGAAATTTATACCAGAGGTGAAAAGGAATAGAGTGGAATGGAACAGTGTTAGTCAAAAAAGGAGAGGAAAGAAGGAAAGAAAGAAAGGGTGGGGAGGGAGGAAGAGAGAGAGGAAGGAAGGAAGGAAGGAAGGGAGAGAAAGAAAAGAATAGAAAAGAAAGGTGGGGCACCTCGGTGGCTCAGTGGGTTAAAGCCTCTGCCTTCGGCTCAGGTTATGATCCCAAGGTCCTGGGATCCAGCCCCACATCGGGCTCCCTGCTTGGCAGGGAGCCTGCTTCCCCCCACCCCACCTGCCTCTCTGCCTGCCTCTCAGCCTACTTGTGATCTCTCTCTTTCTCAAGAAAATAAAATAAATAAATAAATAAATAAATAAATAAGAAAGGGAAGGAAAGAAAGAAAGAAAAGAAAAAGGAAGAAAGGTGGAAAGGGAAGGAAGGGAAAGGAAATGAAAAGAAAGGAAAGGAAGAAAGAAAAAGAAGGAAAGAAAGAAAATGACCAGTTTCCACCATAGCCTTCATTCCAGTGGGTTACTCCATACTCTTGCACACATTCTGCACCAGTGATGTCCTCACCCATGTCAAGGCTGTGTTAGGACTTTGAGAAGAATGCAACCGTCACAGTGTCTAATTAGTGTCTCCTGTTGTTCCTCTCCCCATGGTAAGCAGCAGGTACCCCTAACCTCCTACACGGCTGACCTCACAGTCCGTGACTATATGTCGTCATATGGAATTTTCCCTCTTTCTCTCATATTCACACACATTCTCTTCCTTCCTGGTCTGGGTGCTCTGGGGTTCTTAATTGTTCTATAAAGATAATGAGAATGATAAACATCTCCAGGGCACTTGCTGGGTGCCAGGCACTGTTCTAGATACTTTATGTGAAGTCCCCAGAACAAGTCTGTGAAGAGATACTAGTTTTGTTTTTATTTTACAGTTGAGGGACAAAAGGGTTAAATAAGTTGTCCGGAGTTGCCCAGCTAAGAAGAGAAAGAGCTAGCTTTCAATGCCATGTGGTTTGTCTCTAGAGTCTAGGCTCATAACCACTGCTTTAAATGCATATGCACATCTTTCGAGCACTTTGCATGGGTACCTGCGTAATCCCGTGGTAAAGCCATGCACTTTGGGGCTAAGCTTCCTTATGCTTTAATTTTGTCTTTCTCTCTTCCTAGCATACAATCTCAGATAGATTGTGCAGCTCGCTGACACTCCCTTCTCTCCGTTGTAAGTGGGTATGACCCCATCTCAAAGGCTCGTTGTAAGGATTAATAAAGCAGAACATATCCACCACAGTCTTTCTGCGGAAGATGACCAGCAAACAACATTTCCCCTCCTGCCTGTGTATCTGTGCAGGAGGTATCTTTCATTTGGGTTCATTCTCTCTTCTTTGCGTCTTTCCCTCTGCTCAAGAAGCTGACCTAGGTCCACAAGCTCCTTTGACATCGACTTCAGTTCAGTTCAGCCCTTTGAAATCTTAAGCGGAGATCAGAAGGACAAGAGGGAGGTCGGATGGTTCGTTGCCCTTGTTTCCTCCACGTGGTCACCTTAGGTGTGCTGTCTCCTTCTTCTCCATGTGGCCCTTTCTACCTATCTCATTCTGGACCTGGTGACTACTCTCTCCCACCTCCCTTTAAGGTTGTCTAGTCATAGCTCACTTGTTACCTGCCATGGGGTCCTATACAATCCCCATGGCTTCCCTCAGTAGCTGACCATGACCGTACAATTTTTTTTTCCAAACATTTTGAGAGTGAACCCGGGTGGCATTAATAATACCAGGAGGTATGGTCACCCTACCTTGCCTTCCCCTGCCTTTGCATGCAACCTTCTAAAATCTTCCTCAAGTGATCCTGATTTTCCTGCTATATTCTGTCCCAGTACTTAGCTGAACAGTAGGTTGTGTAATTCAAAGTGCTCTACTGCAGTGTAGGTATACAAACCAAGAGGTGACATCGTGGTTGTGTCTGTTTTCTTCTTCTCTTTTCAGAGCCAGATTATTTCCTACTGGGGTTACCCTTGCGAAGAGTATGATGTTGTGACCAAAGATGGTTATGTCCTCGGAATTTACCGGATTCCTCATGGAAGAGGATGTCCCAGAACAAGTAGGATTTATTTTGTTATGGAAGGAAGAATGCCTACAGCAGAGATTTCTAGGGGTGCTGAGAGAAGCAGAGCAGACAGGCAGCTTTGGTTCTGAAATAAGAAACTCATCACCTCCACCAGTCTTGCTCCATTTCGCTTGTAGAATCTTCTGGAGTTTTTCAAGCATTTAGATATGCAGTTGGATCAAACAACACGGGAGTTGGGATACCACTACCCCCACTCCAAACAGCTGAAAACTCACATGTAACTTTTGGCTCCCCCAAAACTTAGCTACTGATAGCCTACTGTTGACCACCAGCCTCAACAATAACATAAATAGTCAATTAGCACATACTTTGTCTGTTATGGGTATCATATACTGTATTCTTACAGTGAAGTGGGGTAGAGAAAAGGAAATGTTTAGAAAATCATAAGGAATAGAAAATACATTTATAGGACTGTACTGGATTTATCAAAAAAACCCACTGGATTTATCAAAAAAAAAAACCATAAGTGGACCCACGGTGTTCAAAGGTCAACTGTATACTGTTTATTTAATCTTTTTATACTCCATCACATTTTCCTTCCCAAAAAACATGAAAGAAAACTTGGTCTTGCTCTGGAGATAACCTTTTCAGGCTTAACCACCAGACCCCCAGGAGTCAACTTGATGCTTTCTTCTCCGTCACTTCCTATATGCAGTGAGTCGTCAAGAGCTATCAGTTTTGGGCACCTGGGTGGCTCAGTGGGTTAAAGCCTCTGCCTTCAGCTCAGGTCATGATCCCAGGGTCCTGGGATCAAGCCCCACATCGGGCTCTCTGCTCTGCAGGGAGCCTGCTTCCTCCCCTCTCTCTCTGCCTACTTGTGATCTCTATCAAATAAATAAATAAAATCTTAAAAAAAAAAAGAGCTATCAGTTTTGCCTCCAATCTGTCTTTCATCTGAAAACTTCTCTCCACTTCAGGATTCCTCAAGTCTAGGATTGGACATGATCACTGTCTTTTGCTTCAGCTATCCTGACAGCTTTCCAACTTACTTCATTTGTAATCAGTTCTCTTCTTAAGACATTGGGACTTCATGTTTTAAGTAAATCTGACCTGATTTTTTAAAAGATTATATTTTATTTATGTATTTGAAAGACAGAGAGAAAGAGAGGAAGGGAGAGAACTCATTAGCAGTGGGGAGGGGTAGAGGGAGAAGCAGACTCCCTGCTGAGCCGGGAACCCAATGTGGGACTCGATCCCAGGACCCTGGGATCATGACCTGAGCCAAAGGCAGATGCTTAACTGACTGAGCACCCAGGGGCCCTAAGTTGGGCCCAATTAGTGCTATACTTAACGTTGATTAATGAGCCACTCCTAGCTCCCTACAACACAGACTGATCTCTGTAGAGAAAGGGGGAATTCATCCGGCAAGAACTGTTGCTTTCTTCTCTCAAATCTTAGCTCCTTTGATCCTCTGGAGTCTTGTATAATGAATCTTACCCAAATCAGAATGGTTTATCATGTAAAGAGAAAAATCTAGATTCTAGGTAACCTCATTACCTTTGAAAATAGTCATTGAGAACTTCGCCCAAACTTTTATTTTGGTTCGCCAGCTAGCTGCTGAAATGCGTGAGCTGGACAGTTGACTCTACAGTGGGAAGATCCGGGGTGGGCTATGGCTTATGACTGCTCTTTGGCAATAACTGAGCAGAATTAGTAACACCCCTTCTTTCCATTTCCTCTAAAGGTAGACTGAATGAACATAGACTTTAGTTTCTTGCGTCTGGGTGACAGAAGGCTCTCTGGGACCCCGGTGTAGCCGCCTGATCCCCGGGAACTGGCCCAGCCCAGGGGAGCTGAGGGGGTCCTGGGTACCAGTGCAGTTACAAACCCTTTGTAAAAAGCAAGAACACCATTGTCACTTTCTCTCTTGTCTGTGTCTCAACACCACTTCTCACCTTCTTCTTCATCAAGCTGTCCCAGTTCTACATTGTGAACAGGACTTTGCAATTTCACTTTGCATAACATGCTCCTGAACACCTTGCCTTTTGCTGTTTTGCTTTCTGACAATGTGAATGAGACCATGTGGCATGTGTAAAATCGAGCCTAGTGCCTGGCACTCAGTCACTATTCACAAATGGCACTTTTTAATGTTTCTGTTATTATTTCGAGAAAAATTTAGTTTGGTAGTCAGAAGCTCTGTGAGACAGCAAGGCTTATTGATATGAATAATCAGAGAGAAATGATTCATTATGCTGGACAGTCTTTTATGTATTTTTTAAAGATTTGTTTATTTATTTTAGAGAGAGCGTGAGAGAGGGTAAGTGTAAGGGGGGAGCAGAGATGAAGAGAAAGAATCCTGAAGCAGACATCCCTCCCCCCACTGAGTGCAGAGCCCAACACAGGGCTCCATCCCAGGACCTTGAGATCATGACCTCAGCCAAAGGCAGACACTTAACTGACTGAGCCATCCAGGCGCCCCTAAGTATTTTAATTCTAACTTAATTCTTTCGACTACACTAGGACATAGCATTTGTTATCACTGCGCATTATACAGATAAGTTACCTGAGGCACAAGGGGTTAATGTGTAGCAGAATTGACTTTGAGCAAGAACTGCCTGACTCCAGTGCCCAGAGAACAACGTAAAACAGTATATGTAATCCAAATTTTACAAAGAGAAAAACAAGACAGAAGACGACAAATTACTTGCCCAAGTAAGTTGTTCACAGAGGACTCGAAGCCAGGTTTGCCTGGTGCCAAATGCCATCCCTTGCCCTCTGTTCTGCTAGAGGAAGTCAGGAAAGAGGATTCCCCTACAGAGCCTGAGGGCATGGGGACATGAGAGTCTCGTTGCCCGTGTGTGTTTCAGCTCCGAGACCCGTCGTGTATTTGCAACATGGCTTAATCGCGTCTGCCACTAACTGGATATGCAACCTCCCGAACAACAGCCTGGCGTTCCTTCTGGCAGATCGCGGTTATGATGTGTGGATGGGGAACAGCCGGGGCAACACCTGGTCCAGGAAACACTTGAAATTCTCACCCAAATCTCGAGAATACTGGGCCTTCAGGTAAGGAGCTGCATCCTAATAAACAAAGGGTATACCTTGTTCACGGACACGAACACCCTTGGGTTTTCCCCTTTCTGTGCACACACAACCTAGTGGAATCCATAAGAAGGAAACAAATGTTTCTTCCTCTACCCAGGCTCTGGAGAAATGCCCTTATTCACTGCATTGCTGTTTGTTTTAAAAACCCCGCTTGCTGGTGTATGTGTGTGTGTGCAAAGTATATATGCAAAAAGAAAAAGGCAAAATGCAGAGATCATTTTTAGGAGGGTTAATTCCAGGACTATCACTTGGCCACTGTGGACCCCAAAGGAAGCTTACATGGGGTGCTTTCTCAAGTGGAAATTGATGGAGAAATGGGACCAGAAACAAGGTTCTGGATGCAAATGTTGAGGCCCCGATATTTATGATAAGCCAAGAGTGAGCCCTGGGTGAGTCTGCACAAGTGGTACCTCCAATGTTTGTTCGCTGAGAAGGAATAAACCATCGGCTGGCGGGGCTGAGACCTGGGCCTGGAGTCGGGGTCCCGGGGAAATAGAAAGAAAGCCTGAGAGCACAGAATGACAGAAGAGCAGAGTTGCCAACAACAGCGCCTGGGGCACGGTCTGCTCTAGAAGCCACAGCAGCCAGGGACGACCGTCCATCCTGGCCCAGGAGCTAAGAAGCATGCCTTACGGGCCACTAAAGCCATTGATGCCTTTCTCTGTATTTCCTCATTCCTCACCCGAGTGCCACCCTGTGACGGCATGAGTACAGGTACCACGATCATTCCCTAGCTGAGCGTTTTCCCAGTTACATCAGCAAAGCAGCTGATGTGATTGATAAATACACAGATCGCTGTGCCGCTTCCCTGGAAATTCTGATTCGGTCTGTCTGGGCTGACGCCTGCCGATCTGCTTGCTTTAGTCTGCTTTTAAAATAAGCATCCCAGGCACTGTTCTTTTCAAGGGGGTTTGGTAAATCTGCCGTAGAATTTAGTGAACTATGACAAGGCTTACAGGAAAATGCTCTCTGGGCCTTTGCAAAGCAGATTTTTCCAATTCTGATCTCTTCACCATGTGACTCTTACAATCAAGGGGACATCCCCAAAACTTGCCGAGATGCCAAAAGTTCTATATTGACTCTAGTCTTAAACTGACAAAAGCTATGTCTCTATGTCTGCAATCAACATGTCTAAACATTGCAGGCCTGACAATGGATGGTTTCTTTTCCCAGTTTTGTTGTTCTTTCTCTCTGGCAGCGTGGACGAGATGGCTGGCTATGACCTTCCGGCCACAATCGATTTTATCGTAGAGAAAACTGGACAAGAACGAATCTATTATGTGGGCCACTCACAAGGCACCACCATCGGTATGTTCGGGACAGGTGGGATCTGAGAGTGTCAGAGAACCTTCCAGATTCATGAAAGGATTCAGGACTTCTTCCCTCTGTGCAGTCTCGAGCTTAAGGACTTGGCCTGGGAAACCGTTTCCTCTGACTGGTTTCTGAAGAGTAAATAAAGTGAGGAGGACACCAGGGATTTCTGCTGCCCCAGGACTGAATTTGGAAATGGACAGATAAGCCTGAGGGAGAGGGACTTATTCATGTGTGTGTATACCACACACGGTTGCTGGATGCTGGTTTAGACGCGGGGAAGGCCGAGATAAAAATGATACAGTCTTTCCCTTAAAGAGCTTTCAATTGAATGAGGACACCAAAAAGAAATCAGAGAATTACAAACTGTGAAAATCATATGCCATAATTATTGTTTCTTTTTGTTCCCAGAGGCCCTGGGATAGGCTAGAGGTAGATGGGGCCATATTGACGATGGCATGAGGCACTTCACCCCCTGCCCTGCTCCCCATGTAGCTAGATGCCTCAACAATACTAACAGCATCTCCACCAGGCTCTTTTCTGCATCTGAATCCTAACCAGGTTTCTGGTGTAAAGTAGGTCTTTGGATGCTATGCATCTTACGTACCACCTCTCATGGCAACCTAGAAACATTTGAGACCATTATCCTCCATGTTTTACAAATGGCTGAATTTGGAAATCCTTCCCAATGGCAAGAATGCCAAAGAATACCTTCCTTTTTATATATATGTGATTCAAAAGAATCATCCTGTGAGGATTCTCTTTTCCACATTTACAGTTTGAGCAAACTAAGACTTGCCATGGCTAGTGAATGGGAAGCCAAAATTGTGGGCCAAGTATTGTCTGATACCAAAGAGTATGGTCAAGGTAGAATGGCCCTTGGAGTCTACCTGGCCATGCCCCCCAGTGGATGTTTGAACCCTTTCTGCAGCACTAGGAGTAGACTTAAATTCTCCAGGGACAGGAAAGTCACTGCATTTTGAATTACCCAATTTTCTTCTTGAGAAGTTTAGGAAAGTTTCCCTTACCAATGGTAGTTATTTTGAGTTGTTTTTGTAGTGGCTGTTATTGCTTTTAACATGCCTCCTTTTGCTCTCATTTATGGTGAATGAAGAATTGTTTTAAATCTATAGACTTGTGTGTTCTTCCCCTTCAGCCTTCATAGCATTCTCTACCAATCCAGAGCTGGCTAAAAGGATTAAGATATTTTTTGCATTGGCTCCAGTCATCACGGTGAAATACACCCAAAGTCCTATGAAAAAATTCAAAACTCTTTCCAGAGAAGTAGTCAAGGTATGTGACTCCTCCAAGTTTAAATCTGTAGTTACTAAAAACTAGTTCTATTTTTACTGATTTCAAGAGAAGAAAACCTTAGACAAAATGGCATTTTACAAGCTTCTGAGACTATCACAGATGTAAGATGTCTACATAGATCTGTTGATCACATAATTTTACCGACAGGGTTCAGGGAGCTCACACCGATACCATCCTACCCTATTGTCTAAATCTTACATCAGGGGCTTCTATCCCATGTCGTTTCTCACAGATAAAGCCAATGTTGAGGTGTTTAATTGATTTGTTTAATCTTGTGGGTTAAATTTCTCTCTAGTGGCCCCTGGTTTTTTAGGAGCAATATGGGGTAGGGATTGAGAACACAGCATGGCGGTGGGTGGAATGCGGTTGGATCCTAGCTGGCTGGGTAACTTTGGTCAAAACCTTATGGGTTTTGTGAATCATGTTCTTCACCTATAAAGACAGGATTTATTTTTTAAGATTTTTATTTATTTGACAGAGATCACAAGTAGGCAGAGAGGCAGGCAGAGAGAGGAGGAAGCAAGCTCCCTACAGGGAGCCCAAAGTGGGGCTCAATCCTAGGACCCTGAGATCATGACCTGAGCAGAAGACAGAGGCTTTAACCCACTGAGCCACACAGGTGCCCCAAAGAGGGAATATTAATAATTCCTACTCCTCAGGTTGCTGTGAGGATTGAGTTCAGACTTGTGAATCCCTTAGAACCTGGCCTTACACATTATAAAATTTGAATAAATGTCAGCTATTCACGGCCATCAGGATTTGCCTAGAACCTACTTTCTTCCCACCTGAAAAGTCCAACCTTTTTAAAAAAAATATTTATTTATTTGAGAGAGAGAGAGAAAGAGAAAAAGAGAGAGCATGAGCAGGAGGGGCAGAGGGAGAGGGAGAGAGAATCTGAAGCAGACTCCCCGCTGAACACGGAGCCTGATGTGGGGCTCAATCTCCCAACCCTGAGATCACCACCTGAGCTGAAAGCAAGAGTCAGATCCTTACCCAACTGTGTCACACAGGCGCCCCACTAAAAGCCCAACCTTACTCAATTGCCCATGTTTCATAGACTCTCAGTCTGTCGACTCCTCAAAATCTGGGCAATATCCTGAACTCCAGATTCCCTCTGTGAGCCGACAGCTCACTAATCTGATCAGTTACTCTGTTGAAATGAATTGGTTTAGTGTGTTTTCCTCTAACAGATTAATATGGGCTTCTCCCACGGCAGATTGAAAGTGATTGTTGCATTCAGTGATTTCAATTAAAGCAGATGGAAGGGAGAACATTTTTATAGAAGCCAGGAATTCTGACTTATGAGAAATAAGTAAAGTAGCCCATGGTGATTCAGTTCCATACCTATACAACCCAGAAAGATGCAAATAAATAAAAAGATACCCTGTGTTCACGGTTTGGAAGGATTAATATCACTAATGTGCCCATAAAACCCAGAGCAAACTGCAGATTCGTTGCTATCCCTATCAAAATTCCAATGGCAATTTTCACAGAACTGGAAAAAATGATCCTAAAATTTGTACGGAAATACAAAGGCCCCAAATAGCCCAACCAGTCTTGTGAAAGCAGAGCAAAAGTGGAGGCATCCCACTTCCGATTTCAAACTCCCTTACAAAGCTATAGTCATCAAAACAGTATTGTACTAGCATAAAAACAGGTACATAGACCAGTGGGATAGAAGAAGGAACCAGAAATAAACCCACATTTATGGTCTACTGATCTCTGACAAGGATACTATGAGCACTCAATGGCGAAAAAAACAATCCCTTCAATACATGGTATTGGGGTACCTGGATAGCCACATGCAAAAGAGTGAGGGGCACCTGGGTGGCTCAGTTGGTTAAGCATCTGCCTTCGGCTCAGGTCATGATCCCAGGATCCTAGGATGGAGTCCTCTGCGTGCCGCTCCCCCTGCTTGTGCTCTCTCTCTCTCTATCGTCAAATAAAATCTTAAAAAAAGAATGAAACAGAACCGTTATGTTACACCACTCACAAAAATTAACTCAAAGTAGATTAAAAACTTACACTGAAGATCTGAAACCATAAAACTCCTAGAAAAAAGCATAGGAAGGGGCACCTGGGTGGCTCAGTGGGTTAAGCCTCTGCCTTTGGCTCGGGTCATGATCCCAGGGTCCTGGGATCGAGCCCCACATGGGGCTCTCTGCTCAGCGGGGAGCCTGCCTCCCCCTCTCTCTCTCTGCCTGCCTCTCTGCCTACCTATGATCTCTCTCTCTGTCAAATAAATAAATAAAATATTTAAAAAAAAAAAGCATAGGGAAAAGTCTCCTTGACGTTGGTCTTGCTGATGATTTTTCTGGATAAAACACCAAGAGTACTGGCAATATCAGCAAATGGGACTAACTAAAAAGCTTCAACAGCAAAAGTAGTGATTAATATATTGAAAATGCAGCCTACAGAATGGGAGAAAATCTTTGCAAACCATGTATCTGATCAGGGGTTAATTACCAAAATATATAAAAAGCTCATACAATTCTATAGCCAAAAAAACAAGTAATCCAATTAAAAATGGGCAAAGGACAAGAATGCACATTTTTCCAAAGAAGGTATGCAAATGACCAGCAGACACATGGAAAGATGTGCAACCTCACTCATCATCAGGGAGATGGAAACCAAAACCACAATGGAGCATTGCCTCATACTCGTTAGATGGGTTTTACCAAAAAGACAAGAAATAAATGTTGGCAAGGATGTTGAGAAAAGCGAAACCTTGTACACTACTGGTGAAACTGTAAATTAGTGTAGCTCTTCTGGAAAACAGTAAAGAAAAATTAAAATGGGAAAATTTAAAAGAACATAAAAAAGTCAAAAGAGAATAAGGAAACCAGATGAAACTAGTGGGCACAATGCTAAGTGAAATAAGCCAGACAGAGAACAACAAATACTGTACTAATCACTTATATGTAGAATCTAATATTAAAAAACCAATTTCATAGAAAAGGGGAATAGAATGGTGGTTAGTAGGGGCTGGAGGAGGGGGAAATGGGGAAATGTAGGTCAAAGCGTACAAACTTCCATTTATAAGACACTTACTGTCTTATGATATCAATTATTCCTCAGTAAAGTTGAAAATGAATGAATGAGTTTTTAAAAAAGGGTAAGATTTGTCAAATTTTTTGGAGATTGATTGAGACGATATATGTTTAAGCATCGTATCTAGTTTATAGCACGTGCTCAGTCTAGTATTATTATTTGAGTTTATTTTAGATTCAAAACCTCAGCACCTGGTGCTTCAGATCTCCTAATTACCCCACTGCTTATCCTCTCCACATCTTCCACCCCTGTTTTACCCCTGAGCATTTCTGTGTTCTTGCCCCTCTATCTTTTTTCTGACCTACAGCTTGCTTTGACCCTTTCCTCTTTGCTTGTTATCTATAGTAGTAAGGATTGTTAGTATTGTCTTCCTTTCTTCCATCCTTTCTCTATTTCTTTTTTTCTTCCTCTCTTTAGAGGCAGAGGGAGAGAAAGAACCCAAAGCAGGCTCCACCCTCAGCACAGAGCCCAAGGTGGGCCTCGATCTCACAACCCTGAGATCATGACCTGAGCCAAAATCAAGAGTCGGACGCTTAACCGACTGAGCCAACAAAGCGCCCGTCTTCATTTCTAAAAGAAGAACCTGTGGCTCAAAAAGGCTAAGCACCCTGTCCCAAATGACCCAGTGAATGGGTGGTGGAACCAGAACCTGAACCCAGATCTGGCCAGGCCATCTATGGTCGATGTTCTTTCTTCTACATAGTCATTTCCCCTCCTTTCCAATGCCAACCTGAAAAAGTCAGTTCTGGATCCTTATACAGCCATGCACATGGTGCCCAGCTCAGCAGGCCATCGAGACCTGCATCCAGCACATGTTCTGCTTGGCAAACCATGTGACCTGGCATGGGGCCCTGTACCTAGAAGGAACACCTTAAATTCACACCGACTAGAACTATATGCTGCTACGTGACAAGTACACCCCCTCCAGAACCAACTTGGAATTACAGTCTACAGGTCACGTTGACTACACCGTAGGAATGGGAGCTGCATGGCTGGCTGGCCTGCATTGCTATCCTTTCTCTTTCGGTCAGGGTGAAAGAGCGGTTGTCTGGCTTCAGCTCAGGTAATGATCTCAGGGTCCTAGGATCGAGCTACCAGGCTCTGCACTCAACAGGGAATCTGCTTGTTTCCCTCCCTCTTCCTCTGCCCCTCCTGCTGCTCTCTTTCTCTCTCAAATAAACACATTAAGTCTTTTTTTAGAATATTTTCATCTTTGTATCTAATTTAAGATTATAAAACAAGTTATTGTGAAACAAAGGCAAGATTCATCTTCTATGCACAGGAATTAGATATGAATTTGTGTTCTAATTTGAAGGTATTCCTAAAGTTCAGAAGGTAAATTCAACTCACTGGCAACATTGCCTGAAATTCCATTAGTAGAGATTGATTTGGGGGGTTAAGCTTTTGCCTCTGGAAGAGTTCGCTGAAAGATTCTGGATCAATCATTCACTAATTATAATAGCAGTTATTGTTTGAGGAGTGTTTACTAGATTCTAGAAACTGCAGAAGGCTCTTTTTTTTAAAAGATTGTATTTATTTATTTGACAGAGGGAGAGATCACCAGTAGGCAGAGAGGCAGGCAGCAGGGGGGGAAGCAGGGTCCTTGCTGAGCAGAGAGCCTGATGTGGGGCTCGATCCCGGGACCCTGAGATCATGACCTGAGCTGAAGGCAGAGGCTTAACCCACTGAGCCACCCAGGTGCCCCCAGAAGGCTCCTTTTAAACATGACCTATTATCTTCACAAGAGTCCTACATACTGCGTATTAATTTTTCACGTCATTGTTGAGAAACTTCTGGATAATTGAAATTCAATACTTCCTTAAGGTATAAGAAACAAAGTCCAGAATTGAACCAATGTATCCCCAACTCCAAAGACTTACCAGTTCCCTACAGGGACTGGTTTCACAAGGGGCATTCTCAAAACACCCCAAGTAGAGGATCTTGGGAAAAGGCATCAAGAGGAAAGTTGGGAAGACCACCAGGGTGGGTTGGGAGAACCAAAGACAAAATTTAACAGAGCTCTCCGTTTCACTGAGGACTAGCGTCATGCAGATACCACTGCTGTCCAGCCCTTGTCTGTCCCTTTCCACTCTTGATGTCCACATCCATGAAATCTGATGGTGTCTTATACTCATCCTGCAGGCACTATTTGGTGACAAGATGTTCTACCCTCATACGTTTTTTGACCAATTCATTGCCACCAAGGTGTGCAACCGGAAGCTATTTCGTCATATTTGCAGCAACTTCCTGTTTACTTTGAGTGGATTTGACCCGAAAAACTTAAACATGGTATGTGTAAGTAGTCAGAGCCAAGAAAACAATTGTTTTGTTGCACAGAGGTGAGGAGAATTTGTACTGAATCATGTGGAGACCACATTTCAAGACCTTTTTTTTTTTTTTTTTTTTTTTTGTCTTCTGAATTGAAGATACATGGTGGTGGTTTCCAGCCAAAGCTGGGGAGTCCACCTGCTTTAGTAGGAGGATCTGAGGAGAAGGCTTGGCCACTGAACATTCTCACCAACTCTTGCTATTGGCCAACATGCCGCCCTTGGAAAGTCCTTCACTTACATGAAGGCTATGATTTTGAAATTTATCTTGCTATGCCTAAACGCTACCCCACACCTACCAAAGTAGAATCTTAGAGAGTAAGCTCAGGCATCTGTTTTTGAACCAGTCTTCCTCTTTCATAGGTGACTTGGAAATAGTCATTTTGTGAACCACTTACTTTTTTAATCCAAAGAGATTAAGGGGTGGCTTTCCAATGTTAAGTATAGATTCACTGTTCAAGGGACACTGAGAGGGATAAGCTGGGTTACTGGTGAGTTCTCTCCAGATGAAATCTTTTTCTTCCTTGGTCCCCACTAGCTGAGCCAAGGAGTCAGCTACTGTCCACTGTGTACTGTTTACTCCCCAGCCGGAGAGGAAGTATCTTTGAAACCAGAGGCAGGACAAAGCTGAAAATGGTCTTCGACTATCTCCCAGACTTCTGCTCAGAGCCTAGTCTCCCTCTGTTAGTGGAAGGCACTTATAACACCTCTCTTGCTTTCAGGCAAGACTTATAAAAGGCGGTTTATGGGAAGCGTGCCTTCATCACTGGCTTTCCACATTCCTCTCCTACATTATTCTCAGTTTACTGAAGGGAACTGTGCTTGTTTATCACTTAGATGGAGGCATATCATGTAGGCAGAGCTGAGTAAGAGGACCTTTACGCACACCCAATTGACATCATTTCAAAAGTACCTTTGAGGCATGGCCTAAGAGCTTGCTAAAGAAAGACTTCACAGAATAACGCCCACGGAGGGCCTTCATTGTACACTTTTACAGTCAGATTGGCCCATTTTTTTTCACTGTTGGGGACCATCCTATGGAAAATTACAGTCTCTACAAGAATGTTTTAGTGGATAAGCAGGGGTGGATACGCATAAGTAAGAGTTTGTGGAACTTCGAAAACTTCACAAGTCCAGAACTCACCCCTAGAAGTTTTAATATTGATTCAGTAGGTTTGGGTAGCTCATGAGGGGTTGTGTTTTATTAAAAGCTCCATGATGCTTCTAGTAGGCTTACTTTGGTGCAAATATATAACTCTTTCGTATATGCAAAAAAATATGCAATGGAAAATACGAAAAAAAAATTTTTTTTAATCCAGAAAAAAATCTAAATGTTAATGGAAGCTACAACACTGGTTGGGTTATGTCCCACAAACTTTCAGAGAGCCCTATAGAATATTGACCACGTTGTTAAAATCAGAAAGCAAACGTTTAGATCTTTTGTCAATGCCTCATGATAAACAACTCTCTGGGAATGTCTTTTGGGACTCAACCCAGGGTGAGGAAGGTCATTGTGGCTTTTACCCCTTGACCCCCTGGACTGTCGGACCTGTCTGAGCTGAGGCTGGAGAGAACATGTGTTAGTGCCTTCGACCCTGCAGGATGGCCTCTGGACTTTCGGAAGGCTGCACAGGGCAGACTAGAGCCAAGGGAGGAGAAAGTTCTTCAAGAGGGTATGGTACATGTTTATTCCTGACAGAGAGAATATTCAGGTTTATCTGTGGTGTGGTCACATGAGTAGCCTCCAGATGAGGAAAAATTCTCTCCTTTGCAGAGTCGCTTGGATGTTTACTTGGCACAGAGCTCCGCGGGCACGTCTGTTCAGAATATGCTGCACTGGGCCCAGGTAAGAGCTTTCTATTCCTGAGATGAGGTCCACGTAGGTCTCGGAAACCCCTGAGGAGTGGTCTCACAGAGCCCACTGTGGGGTTGTGCAGCGACTTCCTGTTCTCTCTTCTGTTCATGTCCTCAATAGTGTCTGGTGTACAGGACTGGTTCCCACAGATTCTGACTGAACTCTGATTGTTGGATCCCTCCAAACTGCCTTTTCTGGGAAAGCTTGTATTTCCTCTTTTGGAAAATTGTCAGTTCTAACAGAACTTTATACAGCATGATACGGGCTGTTCCAGAAAGATTTGCTCAACCTCCTATTGGCATGTGGGCCATTTCAGAGTATGGAAATCATGCTTCATTCTGAGCAAATTAAATGTTAGAGAGGGACTAAACTAGATTAATGGTTTTTGGTTTTACCCTCAGTTTCAAATTTTTTTAAGTGTTCTACTTATCCTATTACTCAATATTCAGCAAGTGCAGAGACAAGTCAAATTCAATTGGTAGAGCTTTCTGAGCCAAGTATGTATGAACGTGTGTGTGTATGAGGGGGGAAAGGAAGGAGGAGAGAAAGGGCTTCCCAGAGTTTTAATATATCTAAGATCCCTAGGAATCTTTAACCTCCACCCAAATAAATTTGTTCCATGGTTTAAGGTTGAGAAGCACTGCTCTAGATATCCTGAAATACTAGTTGAGGATTTCTGAACTCCTCTGAAGAGTTGTACCCCGCAGGAGCTAAGCCTTCAAGTTCCTGCAGGAAAAAGGCCACAGGGCCTCCTCCCGGTGAGGAGACGGTTGGAGCCTGTGATGGGCATGGCCTTCCAGGTGATGTGACCTCAATTTCACATTTACTGAGCACTTACTACGTGTTCTTGCTACTCATATGTGTGATTTCATTCAGTCTCACTGAATTCTTAATAACAGTCTTTCCATGGAGGTGTTGGGACCCCCATTCTACAGATGTCCTAGCCAGTCCCTTACGCATCTCCCAGCTGACTGCTCTTCAGAAGGTCTCTTCTATGACAGAAAATCCTCTTTGGATAGAAATAAGTCAGGATGATGGGGGGAGGGGGTGAGATAAATCACGTGGCCATAAGTTACTCAGACAGCCAAGGCAGGGGTGATGAGGTTGATGCTGATGGTGGTAATTAGGTGTCACCCACTTCATATGCATTACCCTATTTATTTATTTTATCTTGTTGCATTACCCTATTTAATCTTCACAACCAAAAAGAAAAAAAACAAAAATCTCCGCAGCCCCGTGAGGAGGATGTTGTCATTCCCATTTCACAGATGAGCGTTGGGGAAGATGACCTAAGTAGCCCACGATAGTGCCTCCCATTGCCAAAACCCTGCAAAATTCCCACAGCAACAGACTACTGCGTCTCTCCTTAGACATCATGATGGGACTAATTTTAAACTAAAAATCAGGATTAAATCAACGAGGGTGGAAAAAAAATCAGAGAGTCAAGTTAAGAAAAAACCCTTGGAGTAGCCTGAGAATCATTTCATGAAGCCCTTGAGACAAATGTGAACATTACCTGCTTCCTGGCAAATCACAGAAGAAGGAACCCTTAGGTGTAGAGGCTTATGAATGTTTCTATTCTAATAGCCAAATCTAAACATTAAAATGCAAATATGGGTGCATGTGGTGTCTCAGACCTGGAGGCTGTGGCCACAGGAACAGGTGATGTGGGAGACACAGGCTGCCTGGCCCTGCAGTTGGGGGACAGCAGCACTGTACCTCAAACAGAAAGCTCTGAGGAGATTCTGAGTGAACATTCCTTGCAATGGCGACAAAAATGTTTAAAAATAAGGAATATGGTCCTAATATCCTAGACCGCCTGCCTAGGATAACATACAAAGCTGTTTGTACATGAAAACAGTCACTTTTCAATGTAGATGTCCAGCTGGTGCCTTTTAAAAAATATATATTAAAATTCCTGAAGCTAAGATATTCAAGAATCATCCGACCCAGCATCCTTGTAAACATTTCATAGGCATTAGAACATTTAAGGACATTGCTGTCTGAGGATTTTCGTGCGAGAAGTATGGGGGAAGGGATTGAAAGATGGTCAGTTCTGTGAATTGGTATATCAATATTTATCATTTATATGATCGGGTTTATTCCTCTCTACTGGGTTTTAGCTCTTGTGCCCAAACAGTGGGATGTGATGTCATCCTCTTTGTATATTTTCTGTTTATTGTCTTTCAATGTGTGCTGTCTTCTCATGTCACGGGAATGCATTTTTATTTTTATTTTATTACAGGCTGCTAATTCTGGTCTGTTCCAAGCTTTTGATTGGGGAAACGCTGATCAGAACATGAGGCACTTCCACCAGGTACAGAGATGACAATAATCATCAGGGGCACCTGCTTGCAAACTAATAAAGTAGTATTCACTCGTTAAACACCAACACTACCCCAGATGTTATATATCAGTCAGATGCTACTTCTTGGTTTCCTGCCAGGTTCCACATCATTACTGTGATCCTCACGAGGACCGTGCAAGGCAAATATGATTGTCCTCATATGTACCCTCAGAGAGGTTACGTAAATTGCCAAATTGCCAAAATTATTTAGCTAGTAATGGACCTGACTATGACCCAGGGTTCCTGGATTTTGTATCCATTCTTCTTCCACTGCACTTCTTCCTTCTCAAAAAATAGAAACTCTCAGTGCTTTGGGACAGTTCTTTGGGATGCCATGTATGACTCATAAAAACAACAACAACAGTATATGGATCACTAAAGATATACCAGACAGAACTATCACTCTAAGGAAGAAGTGCTGTTATCTGTCAGAGATACAGTGAGTCAAGATACTTCCTAACACAATCTCTGAAAACTTTTGGGGCCAAAGTTCTATATTAAATGGCAATAGGTTATGTTCTATTTGTTGTTATTTTTTCCAGCATTGATAAGGAAATCTGTATATTATTTTGGCCTCATGCTAATAGACTGAGCTCAAATTAAACAAGTAGTCATCAAAGACACATGAGTTCCAGGGCGCCTGGGTGGCTCAGTGGGTTAGAGCCTCTGCCTTCGGCTCAGGTCATGATCCCAGGGTCCTGGGATCGAGCCCCGCATCGGGCTCTCTGCTTAGCGGGGAGCCTGCTTCACTTCCTCTCTCTGCCTGCCTCTCTGCCTACCTGTGATCTCTGTCAAGTAAATAAATAAAATCTTAAAAAAAAAAAGACACATGAGTTCCTCAAATCAGGAATACGGAAAAAAATGGAATTTTTTTAAAAAGCAAATTTTCAGTACTACCCCAACTGCAGTATTGAAATTGCAAAATTTTGGCTGCTGTGAAAAATCCAATTTTCCTCCCGAACTTCTATAGTTTTCTCCTAAACTGCTGACCACCCACAGACTCACCCACTATGTCCCAAGTGACGTCTACTCTTGTAATCGATTGATTCCTCGTCCTCTCAAGAGTAGATAGTTGCTCAAAGGAAAGTGTCTTGGCTGATGAACTTAATCTGTGGCCTCAGATATCAATTCGGTTGAGAGCTGAGTCACAAGGCTTAGCTTTACCATTGTGCTCACAGACCCTCAGAAGACTGGGTGGGGAGAGGGGGTAGCTCAAGTTCATTTACAATATTTTGCTTGGGACCTTGGAGGGAATGAATAATGGAAAATCCCAAACTGAGGGTAGACGACATCAAGTGTAAAAGCAATAGCTTTTGTCACAAGGATAAGTAATAGCCCTAAATTAGGCAGGCGTGATTATCAATGAAATCACCAATCCTTTATTACCACGAGAGTAAAAAAGAATTTCTTGGCCCAAAGCCAGCACGTCTTATTTGCATCCTGATTTTCACGTTCATGTTTGCTTTGCCAACTTCTGGGCCCCCTTTCGTCCTCCATAGGGTCCTAAATCATTGCGGAGACCCAGTCTGTTGCCATAAACTTGCTAACATGCGCTGCTCCCTCTGGGTTGTGCTCGCGCCATCCTTGCACTCGGGTCGTTGTGCCGTGTATGATCCTGCCGAGAAACCCACAGAGTCAGAGGAAGCACATCTCTTCTTGCCTTTGGTGTTCTTTGCCTTTGGGCACTGCGCCAGCTCCTCTGAGCCCTTCTGCTCCCCTGAGCCCTTCTCCTAGCAGCCGACCTGCACTCACTTGCTTCCCGGCCTTTCTCACTTCACTCCCTGTTGCAGCTAGACCTTCTCACTGACCACTTGCTTCTAAGCCCAAGGCCACAGTGTCCCAGCAGTATAGCGTACGTGGAAACAGTAAGATATTTAGCAATGCGAAGACTCAGACACCAACATATGGACTGCCAGTGACTTCTGTAATGACTAAAGCCGTGCTCTCTGCCTGAACACCGCCCTGCTCAGGGAACTCCGGGTGCACATTCGACGAGTTAGGGACGGCCCCCCGTGTGCATTTCTCGTCTAGGAAACCTCTCCCGGGCAAGGTTACAAGTTCCTAAGGATCTGTACTTTTGTCCGTATGACCTTTTCTTCCTAATGTTGCTGCCAAAATTAATGATGGTGCATTTTCTTTTTTAAAGATGTATTTATTTATTTTTAGAGAAAGAGAGAGCATGAGTGGGAGGGGCAGAGACAGAGGGAGAGAATCTCAAGCAGGCTCTGCTCCCAGCATGGAACCTCAGGCAGGGCCTTGATCTCAAGACCCCAAGTTGACCACCTGAGCTAAAACCAAGAGTTGGAGGCTTAAGCAGAAGACAGCTCTATTTTAGGTTTAAAAAATATAAAAGCAGTATGCTTTACTGAGCTAAGAAGTGTGGTGGGAAATTCACAATAGGTAGAAACTTAAACACTGTCCTCTGGGCTTTCCAGCTCCCTCTATCCCTCCCTGTCTCTCTCCCACTTCTGCTTGTGTATGCCCTTTCCCTGCTTAAGCTATTTTAAAAAATAGTAGTGAAAGGGTGCCTGGATGTACTTAGCTCATAGCATTCTTCCAACCGCAAACCCAAAGAAAAAACCAGTATGTTTCTCAATTGCTCTAGCAGAAAGTTCCAGAGAGAGCTCTGGCTTGGTTTTTAGCCATGTACCTGTCTCTCATCCAGTCACGGAGGCCAGAAGGATGAAGGATGGATTGGCCAGGCCTAATCTCCTTGGACCACTGTTAAACTGGAGGATGGAATTTGTTGGTTCCACGTGAGAAATGCTGTATGTCCAGAAAGAAGGGGCAAGAGATTAATGCCACAGCCACTGTTCTCTGGAACAGGCTGTCTCCTGCTTAACCTAGTATTTCAAATGTTTTCATCTGTTGGTCTCAGTGCCCCCACAAGAGCCTGCTCAAGTGTCAGTAACGCCTTGTTCAGATTTCTGTGTATGAGAAGAAGTATTTACATGTATCCAATATGTAAACACGTCTATTTTGTTGGAAAAGGTCATAGTCTCCATGCAAGTGTTACTAGAAAGATAGAAATAAGGGAGGGTCCCCTTCCCCTAGAATTCTTTCCTATTTTCCTCTAAGTGCAAATCAGGAATAAAATGGTTATGGGGTTGTTGTTGTTGGTTTTTGTTTTTTTTTTTTTTGTCATTGTTGTTCATTTGCTCACAATTGAAATTATTGCACAAAAGTGTTTTTAAGTACTTAGAACATTTTAATGTTTATAGATCACTAAGTGTATTCTAACTGCACACTTGGAGCATTTGAAGAACTGGCTTAACAATTAATAGTTAATTCTACTTCATTAGGTGGTTTTCTGTAAAAACTCTTTTTTCCTCCATCTCTTTACTTGTAACTAGCTTACACCTCCCTTATATGACGTCACAAAGATGGAAGTACCAACGGCTGTGTGGAGTGGAGGACATGACCGTGTGGCTGATCTCAAAGATGTTGAGAATTTACTCCCTAAGATTACCAGGCTTATTTACTACAAGTTGATCCCACACTACAATCATGTGGATTTTTACCTCGGACAGGACGCACCCAAGGAAATTTACCAAGACCTTATTAGACTGATGGACGAATGTTTGCAAAAGTAAATGCATTTTCCTTTCTCTAAGTAAGTGGATTCTCAAACTAATAACGTGGCACACAAACCCCTAAGGTGACCCCTCCAGTGATTTTCACCTACTAGTGTCCACATATGGGGTAATCCTCTCCCCCTGAGTATGGGAGGGCCCTGAGACTTGCTTCTGATCAACAGAACTGGCAAAGGTAACAGTGCCACGCCCTTGGTTAGATCGTGTTTATGGCAAAGGTGATGGGACATCACTTCCTGATTGCGTTATATTATATGAGACTCCATCTAAGTAGACTGGAGAAGAGCTTCCTCTTGTCGGCTTGATGAAGTGAACAGATACGGAAGCTCACGTGGCAAGGAGCCACGTGTGACATCTGGCATCTGCAGGTGGCCTCCAGCCCACAACCAGCAAACTGACGGATCCTCAGTCGGACAGCTGCGGGATGAATTAGAGCCAGCTCTTGGGTGAGCGTGGAAGCCCATTATTCCCCAGTGCAGCCTCTAATGGAGAAAGCAGGCTGGCCACACCTCGTGTGCAGCCCAGGGAGTCCCTGAGCAGAGGAGGTTGCTGCACCATGTCCAGACTGTGGACCCACAGCAAGAGTGAGAAAATAAATGGATATTCTTTTAAACCTCCACATTTGTGGTTAATTTCTTTTTCTTTTTTATTTTTAAAGGTTTTTATTTATTTATTTATTTGACAGACAGAGACCACAAGTAGGCAGGGAGGCAGGCAGAGAGAGAGCCTAAAAGTAACAAACCTGCTGACTCACTGCTGAGCAGGGAGCCCGATGTGGGGCTCGATCCCAGGACCCTGGGATCATGACCTGAGCTGAAGGCAGAGGCTTAGTCCACTGAGCCACCCAGGTACCCCTTATGGTTAATTTCTTACCAGCAATAGCGAATGACTGTTGATAGTAATAACAAACCATTGCTATTATTATTATTATTATTATTATTTTGTCTCTTTGGTTAAAAGCTTGAGAGACCCTGTTCCTTATTACCTTTATTTTCTTCTTGTTTTGATGAACTTCCTTAAACATTTCTTGTTTTGCAGATTTGCTAGCGATCAATTGACAGACAAACTGAAAAAAAGTCTTTGTTTTGCCATCACTTAAGGTTGGCTTATATTCCCTTACATGTATGTTTAAAGTAGATCTTCTTTATCCATTCATCCTTCTATAGACATTTAGGTGGTTTCCATATCTTGGCCACCACAAATAATGTTGGGATGACCTTGGAAGTATGGGTATCTTTTTAAGATCCTAATTTCTTTTTTTTCTTAAGTTTTATTTATTTATTTGACACAGATTGAGAGAGATCACAAATAGGCAGGCAGAGAGAGAGAGGAGGAAGCAGGCTCAGAAAGCCTGATGTGGGGCTTGATCCCAGGATCCTGAGATTATGACCTAAGCAAAAAGCAGAGGTTTAACCCACTGAGCCACCCAGGCACCCCTTAAGATCCTAATTTCAATTCTTTTGAATATATACCCAGAAGTGTGAATCCTGGATCATGGAGGAGTTCTGTTTTTAATATTTTGAGGAACTTCCATACCATTTTCTATAGTGGCTGCACCACTTTATATTCCAACTGACACTGTGTAATGGTGCAATTTCTCTACATCCCACCGACACTTATTTCTTTGTCTTTTGTTTTATTGGTAGTAGTGTTGTTGTTATAGCCACCCCAGAAGTTGCGAGAAGATAGCTTTTCGTGGTTCTGATTTGCATTTCCCTGATGGTCAGCAATGAACAGAGAAGGTGCATGGCCCTGGGACCTGTTCCCCAGGAGCAAGCAAAAGATGTGGCAATGCATACATCCTTAGGAAAAGTTTGAGAGGCTCCCAGAATCTCCACCTGGGCTGATTGGTGAAGGTATTTTGCCTTCATTTCTAAAAATTTTTTTTCTGGTAAGAGAATCTTGGACAGATATGCTTCCTATTTTGTTATTCTCACAGGGCTTTTTTTTTTTTTAATTATATTCATTTATTTTAAAGAACAAGAGAGAGCGTGCACACTCATGTGCAAATGGGGGGAGAGGCAGAGGGAGAGAGAGATAATCTTGAGCAGACTCTGTGCTGAGTGAGGAGCCTGAGGAGCTCAATTCCAGGACCCTGAGATCATAACTTGAGCCAAATCCAAGACTCAGATGCTTAATGGACTGAGCCACCCAGGCACAGCTCTTGCAATGTTTTTTAATGTTGTTCATTACCTCCTGGCATGTAGTTTCTGGTAAGTATGTGAGTTCTTCTATTCCTTCTTTGTATTTACTGCACATTTTTTTTTCTTTAAGATTCTCTTTTCACCAAGGGATTTTTCACAGTTTGATTTGATTGAGCCTTGGGGTGGTTTGGTTGTGTATTCTGCTTGGAATTCAACGAACTTCTTGAATCTGTGGACTTAAAGTTTTCATCAAATTTGATAATTTAATAATGTAACTAAAATATTTCTCCAAATATCTTTTTTTTTCCCTCCAAACATCTTTTGTGCCTTCACATCCCTTGGATCTCTAATGCATTAGACCACTTGCTGTTGACCCCCAAGTCATTAAAGCTGGATGTTTTTCCCACTGTTTTCCTTTGGTGTGCTTCCTTTTAGATAATGTCCATTGTGTGTGTTCATATTCACAAATTTTTCCTTACGCAGTGTCTAGTCTGCTGGAATCCTATCTGATGCATTTTCTATTTTAGAGCCTATATTCTTCATCTCTAGAGATCCCATTTAGGTCTATTTTATATCTTCCTTTTTTTTTTTTTTTTGGTTTGGCTTAAAATCTAATTTAACTGATATAAGGATTGCCACCCCAGCTTTCTTTGGATGTCCATTAGCATGGTAAATTGTTTTCCACCCCCTCACTTTCAATCTGGAGGTGTCTTTGGGTCTAAAATGAGTTTCTTGCAGACAGCATATTGATGGTCTTTTTTTAATCCATTCTGATACCCTATGTCTTTTGATTGGGACATTTAGCCCATTTACATTCAAGGTAACTACTGGAAGATATGAATTTAGTGCCATTGTATTGCCTATAACGTGACTGTTACTATATATTGTCTCCGCTCCTTTCTGGTTTGTTACTTTTAGGCTCTCTCTTCACTTAGAGGACCCCTTTCAATATTTCCTGTAGGGCTCATTTGGTGTTTGCAATTTCTTTTAGTTTTTGTTTATCTGGAAGCTTTTTATCTTTTTTATCTTTCTTTTTTTTTAAATCTCTTTTTATCTTTTGTTTACTGGAAGCTTTTTATCTCTCCTTCTATTTTCAGTGAAAGCCTAGCTGGATATGATATTCTTTGCTACATATTTTTCTCATTTAGTGCTGTGAATAGATCATGCCAGTCCTTTCTGGCCTGCCAGGTCTCTGTGGATAAGTCTGCTGCCAATCTCATATTTCTACCATTGTATGTTACAGACTTCTTGTCCCGGGCTGCTTTCAGGATTTTCTCTTTGTCACTGAGACTTGTAAGTTTTACTATTAGATGACGGGGTGTGGACCTATTTTTATTGATCTTGAGGGGGTTCTCTGTGCCCCCTGGATTTTGATGCTTGTTCCCTTCCCCAAATTAGGGAAATTCTCTGCTATAATTTGTTCCAATATACCTTCTGCCCCTCTCTTTTCTTCTTCTTCTGGGATCCTGATTATTCTAGTATTGTTTCATCTTATGGTATCACTTCTCTCTCGAATTCCCCCCTCATGGTCCAGTAGTTGTTTGTCTTTCTTTTTTTCAGCTTCTTTATTCCCCGTCATTTGGTCTTCTATATCACTAATTCCTCCATTTTTTATTGCACATCATTAATAGCTTTTTAAATTTCAACTTGATTAGATTTTAGTTCTTTTATTTCTCAAGAAAGGGATTTTATTTCTCCAGAAAGGAATTCTCTAGTATCTTCAATGTTTCTTCAAGCCCAGCTAGCACCTTGATAATCATCATGCTGAACTCTAGTTCTGACATCTTACTAATGTCCGTATTAATTATGTCCCTAGCCATTGGTACTGCTTCTTGTTCTTTTTTTGTGGTGAGTTTTTCCACCTTGTCATTTTATCCAGATAAGAACAGATGAATGAGAGAACAGAATACTAAAAGGGTAGCAATGACCCTAGAAAAGTATACACTAAACAAATTGGAAGAGACCTGAAACCAGGGGAGAAGAAAGGTAGGGAAAAAAAGAAATATATATACACATTTATATATATATACTATACATACATACATATATGTCTGTATATATATACATACATATATATGTTATATGTGTGTATTATATTATTATATTATGTATTATATAACATTATTATCAATATTATATATGTATATAATAATATATTGTATAATTATATACATATATTTTATATACACATACATATATATTTTGTGTGTGTGTGTGTGTGTGTGTGTGTATACACACATACATACAACTGGTGAATAGAACAGAGCCACACACTTGATTTGGGGTGAATGCTGGTCTGGTAGAAGAAACTGCCTCTCAAAATTTTAAAGAAAGAAAAACATATATATATACAAAAATAAGGGTGAACACAATGAAGGGATGGAATATTACTGTAAAGATGAAAATTTTAAATGTTAAATTTTAGATGAAAATTTTAATTTTAAATTTTAAAAGTTTCTAAAGAAGGAATTGATAAGTTGGTTATAAAAAAAAAAGAGGAAAGAATGTGATAGGGCTGGAGATTAGAACAAAGTCATGTGCTAGATTTGGGGTGTATTTTGATCTATTAAAAGAAACTGTATCCCAAAATTTTAAAGACAGATAAACCTATATGTATACAAAAAATAAGGTTAAATACAATGAAGGGACAGAATGTGACTATAACAATGAAAATTTTAAAAGATTTTTTAAAAAGGTATTGATAAGATAAAATAGTTTAAAAAGGTTAAAATAGGAAAGAGGAAAAATTTTAAAAATAGAATAAAAAAATAAAATTTAACTTTGAAAGACTAAAGGATCATCAGAAAAAAGCCATGAATTCTATGTGTTGCTTTCCCCTACTCTGGAGTTCCACAGTTCTTGTTGATCTGTGAACTTGGTCTTGGCTGGATGTTCTTGCTGATCTTAGGGAGGGGTCTGTTGAAGTGATTCTCAAGTGTCTTTGCCCCAGG